TGTCTGCAATGATTAGACATGTTTTTATTATTGTCATTAGTGATTATCTCAATTTCAGCTAAAAGAATTGACAAAACCCTACACACTGTGCCTTTAACATGCCTATATGTATATGTTTTTGTTCCCACCTCCAAAGGCTCCCAGCAGGACCTTCTGGTAAAACGGCATTGGACCCTTGTTTTTACTGCTCAGCATGTCTCTCACCGTCTCATAGATGGCAAATCTGGTGAGGGAATAGGACATCTGAAAAGAGAACAATAAATTTTTAATTTGATTAATAACAGAGAAAACCTCTTAAGTTAGAAGAAAAAGCCTGAGGCTAAACTACTTACTCCAATCACACCAGCTGCTGCAACAAGTTTGTTAGAGCTAGTCTGGGTTATAGTTTCAGATTTCTCSTGTTTGTTAAGGTTATTAGTATTTTTTGAATCATATCAATGTTTGTGATTGATCAACATGGCAGCATATAGGGCAGGGCTATTCAACTGGTGGCCTGCAGGCCACATCCGGTCCGCCAGTGACCAAAGTTCAGCCCACCAATTGGTTCATTCATCTATTGAGCCCAAATKCTCGTTTTCTACTTTAATTACTGTAAGTTCTTTAAGTTAGACATAGACATGTTTGGTATCTACAGAAACATCAGACTCTTGACTAGAAGCTGGTAAAAAACATTTCTATGAACACTCAAGACAGTTAAAACTACAAACAGTTGAAGATAAAACTATGAAAGTGAAAATAAAATTGGTTTAAAAATTTGGCAAGTCAAAGATGTCAAAATAATATTTGTGTCAAATATGAGGCATAATGTCTTATTTTTCTTTTTGATATTGTTTTATTATCACTACATTTATTACATATGGTTATGTATGTTCTGATGTGTCCTGTAAAAACAGTGTCGGTGGCTATTCAGGCCATTTCCTGGCTGCCTGACCAATATGAAGGATTGTCGTGCTTTCAGCACTCGGACTAATGCTGTGTGCAAGCTGTTCTTGAAGGTCGCGGGCCGGCTGTGGTTCCTGGACTTTGCTGGCCAGATGGAATTGATCTTGGAGAAGCTGATAGCTCGGAGGGATTGTCCACACTATTTGTCTGATTGGATTCACCACATTGAGAAGTACCAGCAGACATGAAGGCAGATGGAAAATTATTATTG